TCACCCTAACCCTAACCCTAACCCTAACCCTCACCCTCACCCTCACCCTCACCCTCACCCTCACCCTCACCCTCACCCTCACCCTCACCCTAATTGGGGGCCTATTTGTACATACGCAGTCCCATAGAAACAGGCCCTTGGTCGACGTATTGGGTCGTGGGTAGAAAAGAAGTTGGGCTCATTTAACCCTTTCATCCGGAGGATAATCCGTGCCCTTTTTCTCACTTCTGCATATTCAGGTCTTGTATTTCGTATGTTTCTTTTCGTCTAGAGTGAGGCAGAATGTGATTGACAGGTCTTTTCCCTATAGATGCAACCCGGACGTTTCACGCCGCAAGTGGCCCTTAATGTATATAGATGCAACACACAGTGGGGACGAGGCGCAACTGCTCCGCTTCAAGCCCCGTAGTAACGGTATCTTTCATCCTTCATCCGGCATGCCAAAAATTGGGTCACATTTAACCCTTCGCCCAGGATGATACTTCTTACCCCTTCTGATTTCCCCACATTGACGTCTTGTATTTCTTTGATTCCTAACATGCAGAGTCGGGGAGAATATGATTGACAGGTCTTTTCCGTATGGTAAGAAAGGTGGATCACACTGTCGGAAAAACCCTCACCCCTTAACCCTTCAACTCTTACCCCTTAACCCTAACTTCAAGGTAATTTAGCCCAAAAGGGTTATACAGAACATGCGTTTTTACACGAACTAAGGCTACTGATCATTTTCTGATAGGTCAAAAAGGACTTTTCCCGATTGGTACTTTGTCTTTTGGGGCAAATCCCCATGCCTTTTGTACACACCACATATTTTGTACATGTCCGGAAACTGGGCACATGAATATCCCTTATAACGACGAAACAAATACACATGAGACGTCATACGTCTCTGTAAACGATCACAAGCAGACACTCCTCCATCCGTATAAATTTGGTTCCCCTTGGGGTCGCAGGTCAACAGTCATAGCCGATTTAAGGCTTCCACATAGGTTGTGTACAAGCTTTATATTTCGGGGGAAAAACTGGCGCTAAGGCCCCATGCTTAATACACATACCCCATGGCTCAAATCTATACCCAGCCTAAAGGGAACACCTCAAAGGATATAAAGTGGCACCATTCGAAAGAGTATCTCAAGGCGAATAACTTCCTCTCAGACTCAATCCTAGTCTCGTAAAACAACAAAGTTATGACGTCACTTCCAGTCAATTTTCAAAAAAATAACGAAAAATGTCAGACTTTTTTTGGTCCCAAAAGATAGCCCGTGGCCTGATTCGGATGCAAAATACATCCAAACCTGTATGATGAGTCATTTTCAGTGATTTTTCAAGGGGTCACCAACTTAAAATAGTGCCCTCGGGGAAAAGGCCATAACTCCCTGACTCTTTGACCTATGACCTTGAAACTTAGACACGAGGTAGATGAAGAGTTGTGCACACAGAGTAAGCATTAGGAAACAGTCTTCATGAGGTCTGGGTTACATACAGACATGCCAATAAAAGATGGTTTGGGGCTCAATAGAAAGACTTGCCAAGAACAAATGGGTGTAGGACTTTTAGGACCCAAGTAGAAAAAAAATTCCCAATAGCATGGATATTTGACTACATACACCATCCCTGTGTAGACCTATGTAGAAAGATATGAGAATAACAGGTGGGTGTGCGACAAGACATAGGGCCTTCACTGTGTCCACCGGAATAGAAAGATCAGCCAATTACAGATGTTTGAGCAACTACAAATGGGACGGTTACTGTGGACCCACGTAGAAAGACATGCCAAATAACAGATCAGACGATCCCCATTTCACTTTTAATAGAACTATAACCTTGAAAAGACATTTGAAATTTACACGTCATCTTAGCAGCCAACTTGATTGAAATCTTTATTGAACATTTCTGACAAAACTAAATGCATGCATTATTCTTTTTACCAAGTGTTGACAGTGTATTGTGGGTCACCTATATGGTTTGCTTTGAATATTCGCTCATCCAAATGTTCCAGTGAAACAAGAATAATAAACATGAAGTTAGCACCAAATTTAGGAATAACAGATCACAGGACACGCCTTGCACTATCTTTTTTTTCTCTTTCAACAATTTCTGAACTGCCGAAATATAGAGGTAAATTAGGGAAATATCCAAAATAACAGCAATATGTGTAACCTTTTAGTTCAAAGCAAATGTGACTACAAGCATGTCACAGTATCTTTAATAATGGCACTCTTGAGTTATGCTCGGGTAGTATTTAATGAGATATGTACACTGTTGGTGAGGTCCCACAATTCCTACTAAAAGGATCAAACTGCATCCTGTGCCCCAACAGTATCAAAGCTCATTGGGTTTCAAAAAGGTGGTGATGTTTGCAACCAAAACTTTCCTTCATTTTTAAAGGTTGCTTACAAAATGTAATGGCCCAAAAATGGCACCTTTGTTACACGTAAATGAAAATAGAAACACAAATGCACTTTGTAGCAAATTGATTTCGCCTGGGCTTCATTCCTCAACACCTCATCTTGAAAGAAAAGCTTAATACAGGTGGAATGCAGGAAAAGAACTCTGCAAGACTTCCCCCTCCCGCACTATTTTTCTGCTAGCAAATACATCATTTAATGAAATTAGTATGCATAGTACTGGTTATTTATAGCTCGTGGACACCTGTTATCCAGGTGAAATCCTCCAAAGCGTATGACTTGAGCTCTGCCAACACACATGGATGGATAAAGAGCCTCAGGAATATGTTCAACATTCTGATCTGGGATTTCAAGCCACCTCACTTGAGAGGCATTCACTGCTCTACTAATATCAAGAACATACTGTTGTTCGCCATGATAAATGCTGGAGGGCAATGGTGAAGAAAACCCAAGGTTATTGGGTGCTATCCTACATTCCACTGGGCTAAGTTTAAATGTCACTGGAGTCTTACATGTGCACCCTGGAGAGCATGGGCAACCAACTGGAATAGAGTCATTGGAAGTGTGAGCACTGCTATCTCTTACTGATAAAAGATTTGAATCATTCATTTCAGAGTTTTGGCTACTGTTTTCATTTGTTTTGTTGCAGAGACGTTTGACTTGAGGGTGTAGGTCTTTTAGAGATCCTGTCTCAACACCTCTTAACTTGGTTGAATGATGGGACTGACTCGCTGGGGACGGATGATCCCTGAGTTGACGATGCCTGAACTGTGTTGACATCTGTGATGATAAGTTCCTACATGAATTGGAACTTGTACGTGAGCAGCTGAAGAATACAACACACTCATCAATCTGCAAAGAAGTGTTTGCCAAGTTGAAGAAATATCACTGAGATCCAAACTAAGCAATACCTTTTAGAAAAGTGCCTTCTAAATTACAGGCTCAAAATTTTTAAACAGAGCCTTTGAGAAGGAATCATGGAACAGTATATGTAGGTCATCCAACCGCCGTGAACCACAAGTATAAACAGAAATCCAGTAATTACAGTGGAACATCACCTGAGCTTTTCTTTATCTGCAAGCTGCATATTTACTGTTATACCTTGAAAGTCACATGGCTGAGTTCCTGACACGCTGCATGACAGCAAATCCCTGTTACATCCTTACCTTGCAAGCTGCATGACAGAACATCTTTGGAGCTGCATGTGCTTTATCTTTGACTTCGATTTCTCTCCAACACCATGGTATTTCACTTATATCAAGCATCCAAACATCATGGAGTTCCTGATGAAACAATGTACAGGTACAACATAAATTTGAGGATGAAAGTGTTTTTCAGTACAGACCACTTTGAACTGCTGATTGTTCATTTTGACGATATCAATGGTATTCTAACTGAATTTAATGGAATAACCCAAACAAAGGAAATTACAATTAGATCGAGTTTGCTTTTGCAAAAGACCAAATGCTGCTTTTAATGAGAAACAAAGCAATATTGTGTTTCGCTTATACAAAACTCACCTTATCAAGGTTCCCAAGTCCTGCTATAATCAAGATGTGGCCATCATCTAACTCAACCTGAAAGAGACAAATTGAAAACCCCTCCCACTAATTTGAGTCCATCCTTGCATGGAAATGGGACTCTCTTAGGCTGAGTTCGGGTGGCCTGTTCTCGTATGTTCACGAACAGCTTGATTCATTGTTGTAGGGTCGGCTGCTCGAACGCCAGGAACATACAACCGGTTGTCGCTGATAGTTAGTGACAAGCAACATTCAATATGGCGGCGTTCAAGTACGTTTTTCGAGGGTTAATGTTTGGATAACTAGGCTGAATTCTTTTCTATTTAAACAGGAAAATTCTTTTTGTGTCACGGAAAATTATTGATGTTAATTTTGCAAAACTCCCTGTTTGTCTCTAGCTTTGTAAGCCATCTCTCTACATTTTGCAGCTGTTCAAAAATAAAAAACTCATGAGTTTTTCTGTGTGTTTTCGTAATACCCTGATGAGGAGGTAGTGTGTGATCCTGTTCCAAGAACAGTGTTCTTGAGTCGTGTTTCCGCTGTTCGAGCGCGAGAACAAGAAACCTGTGTCAAGAACGGGCCCATCTGAACTCGACCTTAAAGATAAAGTGAGGGGTTATGACTCGTACTGATGCTTTTATGTACTCTTCTAGTCTTTCTCGATGAATAACGTGTGACAGCTACTACTTCTAGAAGGTAAACAATCTACGGATATGTACATGCAGAAACAGCCTGAAAAATATTATTTAACATTCTGTGTACATGAGGTCATCTTGTGTTTACCATTGTTGCAATTCTGAGGAATCTCCAGTCTCTCTCT